GTTGTAGAGTGAGGGGAACAAATAGGCTGTTTATATTTACCAGTATTTTAATATAAATTACATAAATTAGCCTAATTGTTCGCAATTACACGGTTAGCGGTGTTTTTGGAGTAAGATCAATTTCTCTTTCATGAGATCACTTCCTCTTTTTGGCCGGGTTTCGTTTCTCCGTGTTGTAAACTCAGGGCCCACTGTGTCTATACCAGTGTTACGAGATTTTCGGTTTCCGAGATTTTCGGTTTCAGTGGGCGGGGCAAACATGAATATTCATAAGTTTCCCGGACATGCACGTGGAACCAGGTGGAACTGAGAATTTCAGTTCACGCTCCTTGTATCTCAGCAGGTTTAATGGTATATTTTAAAAAAGGTAAATATTTTACAGCGTTGCACAAACCTATGCCTAAACTACATTTGTTCATCATTTTGTAACAGTTTATAATGTTTTCATTAGTTTGCACGTTTTGTGCAGTCGTCACTGACTGAATGATTGCAGACATTCAGCACACTTAAGCTAGTTGTAACTTACTTTGATTTCAGTTCGTTGTGCTGTAGCTTGCAATGCTTAAAAACTGTCTGTTGTTAGTTGTTTTCAATTAAATACAACAGCTGAAATATTGTATGGACACAAGTTTAAAAAGTAGCCTATATTTGGTACACTGTAAATGAGAAAACAAGTGCTTCACATCATTTTATGGAATAGAATAAGAAACTAATTTCATGTTAAAAAATAATTTAATTAACAAATGTTCATAAGTGTGAGTGTGCTTGTGCTTGTTTTGATATGATATATAAAATACTGTTCTAAGGATTTGTATTAGTAAGGTTCTTTGTTCATGTCATCAACTGCATCAATTAAAAATATTAAAAAACATTAATATTGTGGAATAATTTTACAATTTAAAATAAAAATATTTTCCCCCTGTGATGTCAGATCTCAACTTCTCTTCTTCAGTGTCTCATGGTCCTTCAGAGATCATTCTAATATGCTGATTGTCTGCACAATAAACATTTCTGATTATTATCAGAGTTGAAAATGGTTGTACTGTTAATGTTTTTGTATCTTTTTAATCTGATGCAGTTGGTGACATGAACAAAGAACCTTACTAATACAAATCCCTAGAAGAGTACTGTATATATCATATCAAAACAAGCACAAGCACACTTATGAACATTTGTTAATGAAATTATTTTTTAACATGAAATTAGTTTCTTATTCCATTCCATAAAATGCAGTGAAGTATTTGTTTCCTCATTTACAGTGTACCAAATATAGGCTACTTTTTAAACTTGTGTCCATGCAATTTTGTTTAATCCACAATTTTACTTATTAAAGGAACACTTTCATGCTTGTGTGTGTGGTCTTAGATTCATATTCATTTAGTAAATATAGCCTAAGCCTAACAGTTTAATTAAGGCTGGAATTATGGCACATTGTAATGCTGGGTTGTGTTGAGCACGCCAGTTGTTGGTATTTAGCGAGCACTGAGGGGGGCATCAGGTGAGCAAGCTAGTGAAACGTTGCACGCACAAAAGAGAAGGTCTGCACACATCCAAAAACGTATTTTTAAACCTGCTGAGATACAAGGAGCGTGAACTGAAATTCTCAGTTCCACCTGGTTCCACGCGCATGTCCGGGAAAACATGAATATTCATGTATGCCCCGCCCACTGAAAACGAAAATCTCGGAAACCAAAAATCTCGTAACACCGGACGCTACAGTTGTCGCGTCGCGCCGCAACAGCTCTACACTGGACGCGACAAAGCGACCGTTGCAAATCAT